TGTTGTCGCTTTTAACATTTTAACTTCCCGATAAACAAATAAAAATAATGTCGGTATCCCGATAGTCCGATGTCCCAATGTTTTGGAACCTCGAGCCTTGCTCGGCGCGATGTCGCGCTGCTTGCTCGCCGCTATCCTCGTCGTTCCAATATGTTCGTAGCCTTAGACACCGCGGATAGAGTACATAGATTGGAAGTGCTATTTGAATCGAAAGAAAAAGTTTCTGGAATCTACACTTAAATTAACATGTTCGGCACATTGCAATAAGTTTTTCAAATAGTTTTTTTGTCAATTTTATCGAATCTCCATTTTAATTCTTAAATAGCTGTTCAAGTTCATTACATTTTATTAAAACATTTTCATTGGGATTTTTTAAACCGCCTTCAAAAAAAACATCTACAGAGTCTAAAATTTAACGTAACAAAGTTTTTCTTTTATTTGCAATTTAAAAGCAATGAAGCCGGCCAAATTTTCTAAACCATCTCAATGTAATTGTTTCTCTTTCATTTTGCAATACAACGTTTGGTGCATCAGTTAGGGGTCCTACATTTGAACACTCTGAAACTATTTCATCATTTCTTCCCATGAGGTAATTCCGAAGTCTGTACTTAAATTGTAATGCAGGAGGATGATAATGTACACCACCAATTGCTCGCATGATAGAAAAGAAGCCTTCCAAGGGATATTGATTTAAATTGTAGGTCCACAACAACAACATATCTTTATTCATCGAAAGGGCTATCGGCCATTGCGGTCTTTCCGCCCGTGTAGATCATTAAGTACTTAATATTAAAATCAGTTTTCATATGATTAAAAAGTTGCTTTAAGGACTTAATACTAATAATTATGCCACGCTGACAATACATCATGTCTGCCCACTTTTCATAAACCAAACATTGTTTTTTCCGTATGGTTCAAAATCTTATTTTGCTGATCTAAAGCCAATCCATAGGCCTTAACACGTTCTCTTGAGTCACGTTGTGATATTTTTGAATTAAAGACATCGAACCAGTCATTTGTGGTCTTTAGTAATTCTGAACATTCTGACCAATTATTTTCATATTTATAAGCGACCAACATTCCCTGCCTTGTAAGAGCTTTGGAATTTTTTAACTCACAATTTAAGTTTTTGTCGTTGGGCTCTCTTTAAAGTTAAAAAAATCTTCATTATCTTTATGGGCAATATTTAAATCCAAATTTTCAGTATGTCGAAGTATTGTACAATTGTACAATTTGTATTGCATTAATAAGTTTGCCATTTAACAAAAACTCCGGTGTTGATAAAATGGTTTCTTAGCAGTTTTATCATGTGCGGTGTATCTGTAAACACATGCACCCTTTTTTGACTTACGGGGTTGTACCATGTATTTTCTCCGGTAATGTTGAAAGCTGTCCAAAGTGCTCTATTGTAACGCATTGCAACGCCATTCAGTAGGTTCAATACTCTATTTAATATGCCCAGAAATGAAGATCGTTAAACAAAGTACTTTCTTAACACAAACTGACAAACCTGGATTCAAATTTATTTTCGAACTCCACCTTTTTAATGTAGATATCGCCGGTAGTGGGTAGCCTCGTTTTCTTAATATGCGATAAGATCTGGAACCTGCCGCATATAAAGTAATTGCAGAAGTAATGTCTTACATATACTATTTAACTTGCTTTCAACTTTTTAATTTTCGGATTTGCCCTTTTGTGAAAAGTGTTTCTACTGATCTAAACTCTTTGCGTTTCCTAAACTCCTTTAATTTTGCATTTTTGGCTTGAAGAATTTCTATTTGCTCCAAAAAGCCAAGTGCACTAAAAGTTATATGTTCATCATTTTGAAAACGTTCCGGCGGTTTGGGTAGCAGTGCTTCAACGTTCCTCAAGAGTTTAAGAAACTTTCTAACTTATTTCCAATTATAATGGATTTGTTATTTTCTACTTCGTGTTCCTATTGACTAAATTAATGTTATATTGATTTTATTATATTAATTATAGAAATATATTGTAACCAAAGACATAAGAAAATCGATCAAGCTAGTCAGTCATCAATCCCGATTTGTTTGGTACCAAGATTAGATTCTAACGATCGGCGATTTATCAATGAAAAACAGGTGGTAGGGATAAAGTAGGTACCGATCCAAGAGTAGAATTAATCGGAAAATCAACTCGTCTGGCTGCTAGCAATAGGCGCAGTAAAATCTGTATTAATCGATTTATTCCAAGCATGAAAGACATGTAAACGCTATAATAGTAATGCAAATTTTGTAAGCATTTGATAGCGATTCAATAAGGATCGAATGTGGCTCTTAGCTTATAAATTCAAAACAACTCGCGCCACCGGTTCCTGTTTACAATCGTGCAAAACAATACAGGTTACGAAAATTCAGGCCGATTTTCCTGCAAATTAAGCCACTTTGCACGATTTGTTTTAAGCATAACAGTTTATTAAAATCACGATTATCACTTATTATCACCAAAAACTCAAGAAATTGCCTAATTTACTTGTCCAACAAATCCTCTTCCCCTCTTACTATCATGTCACTATCACGTACTCCCCTTTGTGCGGTGTTGTCATGATGAACGTTTCAATATGTTTTCTGGTTATTACTACATAAAATTCTTATAATTTTTTTATTATACAATTTAAGCGCTGTTATTTTAACGACATTTCCTTATCACTGATTACAAACCAAGCAAATATAACACTAAATATATTCAGGATTACCGTTTTCCTGCTATTTTCTTGATGATGCTACTCATATACAGAGTGATTCAAAGTTGGCGTCATTCCTCTGGAGGTGTTGTCGGGCGCTGTTATAGTACAGACAAAACAGTGAAATAAATTATTTGTTTTTAAAAACTGAAAAATTTGCAAAAAACTATGTCAGAAATACGCCAGCAATGTTTTTCCAGGTAATCTGCCTAATTAACATTGCGCAAATACCTGTTGCTGGAATTATACAGAGTGACAATAAGATAGGCAAGGATAAGCGGTAAATTTGTTGACTGCAGAACGTACTTTCGAAATGTCAACCTGTTCTCATAACCTCGAATTGGAGTTTATAAATAAACCACACAACACCAAACATTTGAATGGTTAACTCCAAACAAGCTAGTACCTGTATAATTTCCATATTATCCACTCTTATCAAGCAGCTTCTCGTATTCAGTTAATTAACTGCTGCTCCATTTGTATCTCCTTGTGCTGTGTGTATCGTACAAACGTCTTTCCTCGGTATTTACTTGGTGCTTGGGAAAGTGTCAGTTATTGTGCTCTGACTACCCCTGGAAGGCCCTGATTCGATTGTGCCCAATAC